GGTTAATTTTTTTTTGTTTTAGTATTTTGAAGTTGACCAATTGTTACTATAAGCAATTAATGATTATAGATGATCTGCATGGGTTTCTGTAAACCACTCCCTATTTAAATTTACATTGTTTATAATTTCTTTAAATATCTCAAAATTTTATTAAGTAAAGTGGGTATGGTTTCTAAGCTAAAATTAATCCTTGCAGTGAATTCAATATAGGGGTGCCATTCGTCCTCAGGGACGTTGGTCACGTTTCTATTGTCCATACCCCATACAATAAGATATAAATAAAATACAAATTATTTGTTATCAGTCGATAATCATTTGTGAATTGTTACCAACAAATGTTTGAAATGGTTACGAATCCTATAAAAAATTTAGTCAGAAAATGTATGGTTTTTCCATACATTTTCCGCATATTCTGTATGGAATGTGTACAGAATTATACATTAAAAGATTACTTTTCCGTACATATTTGCCCTGAAAATGCACTGAAAATGTATGGAAAATGTACAGAATGCATTTTCAGGACATTTTTAGGACAAATATGTGCCATTTTCATGTATAATTCCGTACATATTCCATACAAAGTGCACGGAAAATGTATGGAAATATCATACATTTTCTCTGAAAAATTTTTATAGAGTCCTAGCAGGACCCCAGACGATTATAATTGAGGTCATATGCTCTATGCTAGAAAATTGTCATCCTGGGTCGATTTTAAAAGCCATGAGCATGAAATTTTGTCAGAATAGATGATTCCCATTTATCTATAACTAAGGTTGCGTGTCGAAACCTGTTTAGCCTAATGCAAAAATGCCAAAGTTTCAGCTAGGGTTTCTATTCGAATTAGTTATTTTATTCGTTATGATTTCGAATTACATTGAAAGTTAATTCGAATAAAACGAGTAATTCGATAAACGAATAAAATGAGTAATTTGAATAATTGAATAAACGAACAAAGCAAGTAACAAGAAAAATTAATGATAACTCACATGATGATTTGTCTAGTAATCTGTCAGCTAAATCCCTAACAACGCCACTTGTTAAATATTTGGTAGAAACCCCTTTTGGTATTAATGGTTGCGATAAAAGTTTATCCAATTCCAATTTCATTGATTTAATTTTTCCTTTAATAAAATTTTGTTGTTTTTTACTAGTTTGACTTTTGTTGTTCATCCTTATAATATAGTATATTTATATTTAGGTTTAGGTTTATCCATATAATTAATAATTAATAAGTAAATAAAACCTTACGAGCTATTATCATCTAAATCAACATCCAAATCTTTTGCTGCTTTCTTATACCAATCTTCTTCAAAATTTGTCTGACAATGTGAAGAAAAAAATGGAATCAAGTAATTAATAATAGATTTAATGGTGCAAAGAAAAGTAACAATATAACCTTTGAATATTACCTTTTGTAATTTATGTTCATCTTGATCAATTTGTCTTGCCAACTCAATTCTTTGTTTCATCATGTTGACAAATCCTCCATTCGTTGGAAACTCAGCAATCCCAACTGTCAATTTGTATTTATTTTTCGCAAAAAAAAAAAATCAAATCAAATACGAACTTGAACTAAATGATTGTAGTTTACATTAATATGTATACACACACCTTTATTTAGCTTCTGACACAATTTTCTGTATAAGCTCAATTCTTCAGGACTGCATAAAATCAAACTGACACCTTCCTTGCTTGCACGTGCTGTACGCCCACTACGATGAACATATATCTAATAAAGAAATTTTAATTTTAATAATTAAAAATAGTGGTATAATACCAAAAAAGATCATTAAAAAAATCAAGAATTACATCACTAGAACGAGGCAAATGATAGTGAATCACATGATCCACTTGATGTATATCTAAGCCACGCGAAGCCACATCACTTGCAACCATCACCACATTATCATTTGCTTTGAACCTATTTATATATTCATATATTTAGACTAGTTTATGGCATTTTTTAAAAAAATTATTTTTTAAAGTTACCTATCTAAATTCTTAAGACGTTGCCTTTGTTGCATTTGTGCATGAAATCCAATAACTTCAATTTTCAATAATTTCAAAATTGGAACAAGCCGACGAATCGAGTCAATGCTATTGACAAAAATTAATGTACGGCCTGGATAACATGTTATAAAATAATAAACATACAAATCCTGCAAGTATACAAAAGCAAAAAAAGATATATTTAATTTAGCTTACTAACGTTGTTATAGATTAAAAAAAATTAAGAGATTTTAATAACCTTGTCTTTAGCTAAACAATCAATTTTAGATTCTTGCAAAGTGGTAACTACAGCATTTTCGGGTGTAATATCAACATACACAGGATCTGGATCTCTAAATTCCAGTTTTTGCATTAATTCATCTATCGCATATTTATATATATTTCAATATAGTTGTAAATAATAATTTTAGTTTTTAAAAAAATAAATTCCAATATATTATAATTACCAATAGTTCCTGAAGAATTATTATTTTTTGGATTTTTTATCATGAAGCCTTTTTTTTGCTTCAATTTTTCCTTCAATGTTTTATCCAAAGTAGCTGAAAATACAAATGTCTGTCTTGATTGCACAACTAAGGAGGAAAAACAACAAATTAAATAATATAATATTAAAAAAAAATTATACGCAATAATAATTAATCAAAAGTAATGATTTTTACCATTATTTGAATCCTGATGATCTGTATTTCTTTAAAATTCAATCATACAAAGAATTAATTTTTCTTGACCTTTAAATCGAAAACAATAAAATTATGAAAAAATTATATAACTCACTGTCTTTCCAAAGATAAAACTGAAAGGATATGATCTAATTCTTTAAAATGTCCACTCTCGAGCATTCTATCGGCTTCATCCAAAACCAAAAATCTTACAAGTCGAAGTTTTTTAATAAAAATGTCCTTCTATAAATTAGATGAATAGATAAAAATCAGCAATAGCCAAATAGAATATTTGTTTGAAATTCTTCAAGAACATTTTACCTCTGAAAATATTTCCCATAATCTCCCAGGTGTTGCAATAATAACATTTGGATTTTTTTCTAGTAACCTTTGTTGCTTTTGTAAAGACATCCCTCCTACTATTGCCATTATCTAAAATACATAAATATATAAATACATACATACATACATACACACACACACACACATATATATAGGCACATTCATTACGACTTTTTATTATAGTTAAATAAACAAATAAGCAATGAGTTACATTGATTGAAGAAAATTTGCTGATACTCTGAAGATGATCTTTTATTTGAATGGCCAATTCTCTAGTGGGAGTCAAAATAAGTCCAACAAGTTCGTTGAACTGTTTTTCATTGTTGTTTTTCCTTTTAATGATGTATTCTAAGATAGGAATACCAAAAGCGAGTGTTTTCCCTGAACCAGTTTCTGCTGCACCCACAACATCTCTACCAGTTAAGCTGGCAGGCAATGTTTTCTCTTGAATTGGTGTTGGTTTATCAAATTTAAGCAATTCCAAACCTTTCATCATATCAGATGAAAGATTGAACCGATCCCATGCCGATTTCCCTGAATCTTTAATAATAGAAATAGAAAAGAAAATTAAAAAACTATTTTGAAAAAAAAAACTAAATAAATAACGATAATTTATTACCTAATAATTCTTCATTTGAAATCTCAATAATTTGTGTTTCAGCAGCTATCTTATTGTCAACAATAACTTGTTCTTCTTCTTCACTTTCAGATTGTAAATCATTGACGTCTTTGTGGTTTATATCCATGTTTTTATCTTGATCTTCATTAACTTCCATGGATAAAGGCTCTTCTGGTTTAGCAGGTGGATTTTTCTTTAAGTTTTTTTTTTTTGATTTAACTTTCTAAATTTTTTTCAACAAGAATTTAGTTATTTAAATTATAAATTTGAATTTCAAATCAAATGTCTTCTTTACTTTAAATTTGACAGTTTTTCCATCACTTGCTCCCGTATGTTCATCATATTCTATACCAATGCCTTCAATTTCCTCTAAACATAAAAACCCGCCTAATCCATCATTTAAAAAAACAGAGTCTGGACACATTACTTCAGACCATTCTGCTTGATTAATATCAATAAAATCTTTTTGAACTTTATTATTACTATCTTTACTATTATCTTTTATTAGTAATTTTGGTTTTTTTATTTTATTAATTTCCTCATTATTATTGGTTCTTTTTCTTTTTTTCTTGTTATTGTTTTTATTACTTTTGGTCATTCTTGAATTTTTGAATTAAAAAATTTAGATGTGTTTTAGCGAGGAAAAATGAGAGTACAAAGGCGCGTGTAACATTATTATCCAATCAAAATTTTGGGTTTCTAATTTCTAAATTTGTACTATATATATTAATATATAGTTATACGACGAAATTTACACTGTTTAGAATAATTTTTTATTATCAAAAAAAGTAAATTACACCCAAAAAATGATTTTATAAAAACCATCTCTATTATCAAATATATATAATGAATCATCATTCATTCATTACCAATGTTATTGTTATTATTATTGTTATTGTTATTATCATCAATATTTCTTTTTATTCCACCATCATCATTTCTTTCCCTTCTATTCTATTTATATTAGAGAAATATTTGATAATAGCATTTTCAGCTGCATTCTTTCTAGCAGAAGCTTTATTTCTGCCAACACCCTCACTTTCTAATTGGCGATGTATTTTATGAATTTTAGAATTGATAATGGCTTTAAATCTGAATTCAGTGTTGTTGGTATTTGGTGCATCTTTTGGAGTAAGATCATCATATATTGGGGTCTCAAACCCTCTTTTTACCGCCCAAATTTGTAATCGATTAATAGGATCAAGATTTTTGTCAACTTTGAAATCAATTGGTCCGTAATTTGTATTTTCAGTGACGTTGTAGTAATCAACTTCGTCGTTATTGTAATCATCGTCATCGTCATCATCGTCATCATCGTCTATCACTATTTGAGAAACGGAAGATTCTAATAAAGGGGTTAAATAATCATAAACTACTTGATAGTTTCTACCCGAGTCGATGAATACAGCAGCAATATATGATTCGAAAACATCGGCCAATAATTTATTTCCATTTCTTATTGATTCAGCGCCTCTTCCTAATTTTATATGTTTATCTAATTTAATCGCCAAGCTAAATCGAGCGAAAGTTTCTTCACAAACTAATTTTAAACGTAGTTCAGTTAATTTTCCTTCTTCATAATCGGGAAATTTTTTATACAGGAAATCTCCAACCATCAAATTTACGATTGAATCTCCAAGAAATTCCAATCTTTCATAACTGTAATTTACTTTAATGTTTTCGTATGAGTAACTTCTATGAGTGATTGCTTCTGTAAACAGCTTTTTTTCTTTAAATTTTAAGATTGGTAAATTCGCTAATTCTTTTAAGTCCATTTTGAAATACTTTATATTTATTATATTTTTGTTTTATTTTTTTATGAGAAATTTTTTGAAAATTATTTGTATTAGCCATATATATATACAAATTTTCCCTTTTTTGATAACAATAAAGGAAATTTTAATTTATGCGTTATTGTTATTGTCAAACAAATTTTTCTTTAATAATAAAGGATATATATAATGTGATATACTGAGAAACCTTCTATTACTATGGGGTATACACACGAAGTTCGGAAAATTCCCAGAAAAGGTCATTGTATGCATAATAATAATAATAAAATGAATTTCCAATTTTGTAAGTAATAAAAGGGAGTTTAAGAAGCGTCAAAAGATTTTTCCATATATTTTAATAATAATACAAAGAATTTGGGAATAATGACGGAGAATATTTTGCATCACTGTCACTATTACTATTACTGTTTGTTACCATTAATCTGTTACTTAGTATTACTATATACGTTATTATAATCATTAAACCGGAAAATTGTTTAAAATTATATAATATAGAAAATTCTATAGAAACAGTCGATTACCAACTCGAAAATTAACAATAATTATATATATAAAAAAAAAAAAAATGACAACATTAATTAATTTAAATTAATATTCACGAGATTAAAAAAAATGTATGCGTTGCATCCGGAACCTTTGTTAATTCAAACTACGAAAATTAAGATCTTTTGAACGACCAAGGAAACTTTTTTTTTTTTTTTGATTGATTGATTTTTTTTTTTCCTTTTTCAGGAAAAACTATTGTTTTACTTCCAAATTAAAAAATCATTATTATCGCTATCACTATTTATGATTTATTATTTATTATTTATTATTTATGATTTTTTATTGATTGATTATTGATTGTTGATTGTTGATTGTTAATAATATTGGCGACATTAATAATGGAAATAAAAAATTTAATTCACAATTCAGACTTTTCAAAGCAATCACAAGAATCAAATATCCACAAAGAAAATCACAAATTATTCTACAATAATATCAATGATAACAATGACGATGATAATTATGTTCCTCAATTAAACCAAGTATCTTCGCCCTTTTTCAACGAGAGCATCATCAACGTTACTAGTAACACTGTTAATAATGTCAATGACAATACTAACATTAATATTAATAATGTCAATGACAATACTAACATTAATATTAATAATAGTGACTACGGCAATAATAATGCTATACTTTTAACTACTAATAATAATGTTAATAATAATAACCACGATACCTACAACACTTTGACGAACACAAAACCGAACCAAAGCTCAAACACGAGCTCTTTTATCAAAACAACAGGGTCATCGAATAAAAAATCAGAAAGTTTATTACTCGACAATTCAGATTTATGGAGTAAATTTTATTTGGTTACCAATGAAATGATAATTACAAAAATTGGACGTTGCATCTTTCCCTTATTGAAATTTAATCCGATCAATCTGAATCCTTCGACAAAATATTCATTTTCGATCGATTTTGTTCTAGTGTCTCCATGCAGATTCAGATTCAAAAATGGAAATTGGGTTTCAATTGGGATTGACAAACGAAAACATTTGGAAATCAATAATAATCTGATTAAAAACGGTCCTAATATTAATAAAAGTGTCAATGTTAATGCTGGTAATAGTGATCGTGGATATGATATCATTAATAATGACAATATCGTTAATGACATTGATAAAGTTGGTAGAGTATATGGAGAAGCGTTTCTTCACCCAGACTCTCCACAATTAGGTAATAAATGATAATAAATGATAGTAATAATAATAATAATATTTCGATCGACTTATTATTATCTAATGTAAAATATTATTGTTAAAGGTTCACATTGGATGAATTTCGGTGTTGGCTTTCCAAAAATTAAATTAACAAATAGACCAAGTTTAAGTCTATCCTCGAAAAAACATGATAAATTACGTATTAACAATAACGACTCCAAAATAAGCCATAAAAATTACAAAACCAACAAATATACCACTACCACCACCACCGATAATAATAATCCAACAAGATCCGTGCTACCTGAAGGCCATTTCTGTTTAACATCTTTTCACAAATATCAACCACGTATTTGTATGATCAAATATTCAAATCATGGAGATTCCAATGATGAAAAATATTTTACTTTTGAAAAAGCCACTTTCATAGCTGTAACACATTATCAAAATGAAACTGTCAATACCTTGAAAAAAAATTATAATCCACACGCCAAAGGATTCAAAGAATCTGACTTGTTATCATCATGTTCATCTTTCATCACCAATTCATCATCATCATCACCATCATTATCATCATCACATTCTTCTTTTTCTTCTTTAAAAAATAAAAATAATAATTATGACAATGACACTGATGAGAATAATGAGGATGAATGCGATGTATATGATGATGACTCGGATGAATGTAATGACGATTTGGGTGAAGATGGTGAATATGAGGAAGAGAAATGCGAGACTTTTTATACTGATAATAAAAATAATAATGAAATAAATTATAAATATTCAGAAGATGGTGTGATTCATAATATTAATAATAGTATTAATAGCATTGATAGCATTAATAGCATTAATAATAATTCATATTTACCAACTTCATATATCAGCAATAACAATAATACAAATAGATTGAATGATACTAATAGACAAAGAGTTATCAGAAGATCTTCGTTGGAAGAATCACGTACACGTCAAACAAATATTTATCAACACGCAATTCACACAAAAACTTTTAAAAATTTATTATTAACAAAACAAAATCAGCAAACAGCAACTTTATCCTCTTCTTCGGATAATAGTACTGAGAATGGTAATACTAATAATGATAATAGTGAAAATGATTCTCAACAACAACAACAGGAACAGAAAGTTCGTCAACGTAAATTAAATAGTTGCATTTCTTTACCAAGTGTTAAACTTTATTATTCATCTACAAATAATAAAAACACCACGACAAAATCTTTACCATCGCAAACACCTCCACTTTTACATTCTTCCCCTCACCCATCTTCTTCCTATCAACAAAATCAGCGACAAAATAGTTATTTTCCACAAATTTCAAATCATTCAAATCAATGGAATCAAGAATATTATCAATTGTCAACTCCAGTCACCCCAGCCACTTCCACAACACAGAACATTCCAATATCAACAAATGATATTACAGATTATTGTGATTTCCGTTATTCTTACTCTTCTAATAATAATATTGCTGATAATAATGGATTTTTCTTTATGAATAGTAATAGTAACTATAATAATGGTGATAGCAGTAATAGTGGCAGTAGTAGCTCGACTTTAAAATTAAACGAACATGATACGTTTAATAAACTTCAACAATTTGAAATCGAAAATAAGAAATTACGAGAATATATTCGTGAAAGGTATGGCACAGAGGCCGAGAAAGAAGCTGATTTTGTTGTGGCAGATTGGAATTAGCGCTCTTCTTTTTTATATTATAAATAAATACAATTGTTTAAATGATTGTTTATTATATATTAAATTAAAAAATACATAATTAATAATAATAGAAGGAAAAAAAGCAATCAAAAACAAAAACAAAAATAATTGTAAAAAAAAAAAAAATTAACAAATATTAATTGTTTGCTTCTTAATTGTAATAATTTAAAAATAGCAAAAAATTATTTCTTGCATATTATTCATATTATTTCAATTTCTTCTTCAGGTTAAATATTTTTCTTTTCGTATTTCACCAATTTATTTGCCGTATGGAGGATTTTCAAATGCTTCTTTGGGATCAACTTCTTGAGGAGCAGGTAATGCGTTTATGATAGCAGCCATTGCCAATAATACAACGAGGAGTAAAAAAGTTGTTGATAATTTTTTGTTATACATTTTTGATTTGATTTTGATTTTTTAATTTGAATGAATGGGAAAGAAGATATTTGATTTTGAAGGGATGGAAAGGAAAAAGATAGTTTTTTTATAGCATTATATAATTTATTATTATTCTAATTATAGAAATTGTTAAATTATTATTTGTTACATTTATTTAATTACTTTAATTACTTGTTTGTTGTATATATTTACACATGAATTTGTGTTATAAATAAATAAACCTATTTTCTTTAAAAATGTTTGACGAATATTATCATACCATTATCCCATGTAGATGCTAATATCTCATGTTGTTATATCAAATTGGGTAACAGAGAGCATTTCATTTTCTGGTATCATTGGATGACATCTCTCCTCCAAAATATCTTATAATCGTCTTCGATTGTTGTTGTTGCTGTCATTGGATCATAAGAGAATTTCACACACACCCCAAACTAGATCAGCCGCTTTAATCCAACCATATTCACTTTTAATGTCAATGGCATTAGTTAGTAGCAGACATTGCATAATCATTTGAGAACCATATCTACCAACATCACTATAATCACCATATCCTCTCGTATCATTATTGATCCGATGAATCATATTTACAACATTCTTTACTACGTGGCAGTCTACTTCTCCTCGGCTTACATAATTACATAATTACGACGTTCTTCTTTGCAATATTTAGTAGTAACTTCAACTGGTCCACAATTTTGTCATTCTAGGTATGTAGTCCGTTGTTATCCTTTTTTTATAGCATGCCAGAGTGGACGAAACTTAAATGGTGTATCGTACAAGAATTAGAGGGTCTGCATAATAACATTTAATATTATCTATCAAATTAAAAAAAATTTGGTCATCCTGTATGACGTCTAATTGTTACACAATATGCCAGCCGTCTACCTGAAAAGAGATTCATTTATATTTATTTTTATAACAAGCTCAAACATCATAAAATGAGCGAATGCTTTGTGAAATTATTGTTATTCGAAAACAGCATTACTTTTCATTTCAAAGCTATGATATTTTTTCAATGTTACTTAAAAAGTCATTATACGGTAACAGGGTGTGTGATCAAAAAATATCGGGGTAATACCCAGTTTGGGAAAATTTTACTGGAAATCTTCAAAAAAATATCGAACCAAAAAAAAATTTCATTTTATATTTTGAGTATTCGAATTACATTGAAAGTTATTCGAATAAAACAATTTGAATAAAATAATACCATTTATTCACATTGCTAATCCAATCCAATTAAATTATTTTTTCTTTATCAATCCATTTTTCCTTTGTGGTCCTTATATATAGTGACAATAATAATAAATAATGGTACCAGAAGTAATTGACCATTTCATTTTCTTTTCTTTTCTTAGGTCATAGTACTAGTAACCATTTATCTTGTTAAAGGAAATATGACCTTATTTGTAATTTTACAATCCCTTAACAATAATAACAATAACCATATAGAATTTGTTGTGAATTGATATTTTGTAATAATAATGATTCGAATGAGAAATTGTATAAGTAAAATTTAATCCAAATTTATACACGCGTAACCGGAAAATGGCTTTATCTGGATGCCCGGAATTTTATAATAGGATTTTGAACCTATTATACCATATAAGAAATTTTGATTTATAAAATCAAGTATCGAACGCCAATTGTAAGTGATTGAGAAAATGTAAATTATTTTAAGCATTTTTACAGTTATGACTCAATCAATATCCATTTCTGATATAGGGTGGAGTATGACCTTTGTCTGAACTGCATAACCCAAACTTGTCTTGAATCTAAAAATAAAACAAATTCCACAAATAAAATAATAGTAAATAATAATATACCAATAGCATCTGGACAAGAACTTGTTGTGTGAAGGATAGCCCTAATGTCATTAATACAGCAAATTTTCTCTTTGTTCTGATTTTTTAGTCCTAATAAAGATTTAATTATTATGTGTTAATTTTATTTATGAGTGTTTTTGTTTTGCCAAGTATTTCTCAAAATTTACCTGTGTGGTATTATGTTTTTTGGACAAAGATATTATTAAATTAGTTGCAACAATAGAGACGGAGTTTTTTGATGTTCTAAATTCATCAATTGTTACAACAAAACTTTTTTTAGACAGGGGCTTCGTGAACCGCTAGAAAAATGAATCATCAATTTCTAATGTATAGGAAACGAATTAGAAACTACAAATAAATATGTATTAAAATACCTTCACAGGTAAAATACTAAAGCCTTTCGTTTTCACTGCGCCCCATTCCCAAACGCAAACAGTGGTCTATTCTTTTTCTTTCCACAATTGGCATGGACTTAAAAGGTCATATACATATTATTAATAACTTATTTAAAACAAAAAAGTTTCATTCATTTAATTTAAATTGCATATGACATTCCAGACAATTAATTTCCAGTTTTGTCTAGGGTACTTCCGATAGCCATCTACATAGTTGCTCTAGTTCTTTATGTCTGTGCCCAGTATTAAATGCATCCGGTCTAAAAATAAATGTAAATAAGCAAGTGATTAAAGATTACATTCAAAAAAATCTATTATTTTTTTTTTACTGTTGTGAATAATTATCTAAATTATACCAACTTTGACCGGTCACAGTCTAAGAAATTTTTTGGTTCCGAGGATAAATTATTATACAGTGGATCCATATCAGCAACTTCTTTTTTCTTCGTCATGGCTCTTTTCCTATTAAATTCTAATATTGATTATTATAATTATGCATAAAAAGTATTATATTTTAATGATCATACAAGGACTAAAGAAATACTTGCTGATAATTTTTATTTGTAATTTTAAAAGTGCATTTTTTTCTACATTTTTTATCATCCATCAACTGCAGTGAAATTACCCCTGAATCTCATACCTAAATCTTATTTGGATTAATCACTATTGGCTCTTTATTGAGTGCATATAATACCAGCTTCTCACCCTGACAGATCTTCTTCATTTCTAGATAACATCCTAAAATCTTTCTCACTATCTAGTAAAGCTACAGAGGGCCTTTGTACTTTTTAGAATAGAATATCAAAATGTTAATAAGTTTTTTTTTTTAATAAATTATTATAATATAATGATATTTTTAAAATTAAAAAAATTCAAACCTGGTAATTCTATCAAATCACCATACATCCATCAATAGAGAATATGAAAAGAAAATACACAGGGCTTTTCTTTTTTTAAATACATGAAAAGAAAATAACGATAAAATTATTGAAATTTATTACGAACTATATGATCTCCAAATTAAAAATTGATTTTGTAAAAATCTTCTTTCATAACATACATTTACAACTTTGTATTTATTTTTTTGATTTGGCATATATTTTCACTTAAAATTCTTTAGGGACTTTATTCTAAGGACCGCTGCTTTCACCAAAACTGAACGGAATATGAATGATATATAGGAAAAAAGCGAGAGAACTGAAAGCCTCGTTGTTTTCTTCTAGTTCGTATATTCTTCCCAAATATTCAGTTAAACCTTTAAAAATATTTATTTTACTTGAACTCAATTCATTCCAGGACAAGCGATCTGTGAAACTCTAAAATTGTGTTAATGTGAGTTGCCCCCACCGGATCATTTGTGAATCTATTGAATTAAAATTATCTTTACATAATAATATTCTTTGATATTTTTTTTTTTTGCTAATTGCAAAGTTGATTCTTTAAAATTGAAATTAAAAAATGATTCTTTATCTTAGTCAATAATTCGCCCGCAAAACCATCCGCTGAAAAGAGAATACCGCCCAAACTTCCAATTTGGTATAAATAACATACTTCTTCATTCTTTCTAAGAGAATCATATATAATTTCTCAAGTTTATATCTATTTCACCAACTAACTTGAAAGCCCATATTCGATATTTATGATCAAATATACTAGAAAGCTCTTCATTCTCATCTTCCTTTATTCTTTTATACTAGAATCTAATACGCAAACTCCTAAATTATTAGCACCAACTCTTAATTTGAATATTCTTCGGCATAATGGCAAAATACATTCTGCAAAATAATAATAATAGAATAGTTAAAAAATAAATTGACGAATGAGTCACAAGACACGCTGTGAAACATTCAATAATCAAGTCGCGTAAGCGTACCTTTTAAATCTTTCTATATTCAGGTTTTAAAAAATTGGTTAATGTCATTTTCCTTGATAATATTCCGGATCATTTCATAAAACAATCAACCATCTTTCATTAATTCTTTTGGGTTTACTATTTTTTTTTTTTCTTTTGTTGATTACTTTGGGATTTTTTGGAAAGATTAAAAATTGGATAAAAATTAGTTGTATGATTTTTTAGGTGATAAAAAGACTTTTTGAAATTAGCCAATCAAATATGGAGAGGTGCGGAATTCTTTTTGATTGGCTAATTCCATTTTCACACACAAAGTCATTGTCAAAGTTCTAAAAAAAAAGTTTTTGATTTGTACACAAATATTGATAAATTGTAAGCTTCATTTCGGGAAAGATCATCATACTTTCACAATGCTTTGCTCCGATGTATTCATAGTATCATAGTAATATATAGATAAGACCAGGAGGACAAGAATAATATCAGGTTCTTTGGTTATGTGTTACATTTAATCTTTACTATATATATTACTGGTCGTATATATATATATATTAATATATTAATATATTAATATTAATATTAAATATAATCCGCTGTCAATAATTACTTTATTCAATATTAATATGGTACTTTGTTACCGGAATAACTTTTGGAAAAAGAGCATTATAAAGTTATCATAAAGTCTCAAAATTGTAGAATATGCGCGATTTTATGTTCTAAATGGTTACGTAGAAGGAGCTTGGCAAAGGTTTTTAAATACAAATTTGAATTTATATATGTGATATCATCGAGCTAAAGTTAATTGTCGCCAGAGTATATTAGTGTGTATATATATTATTGAGCTTTACGAGAGGTGGTACTTATAAAAGAAATATCGTATTTCATACAAATTTTCACATATCTTGATGAATAAGTTCCCCCCAGTCAATTGTTCAACTAAGTTAAAGAACATGTGCTTTGAGTTGCGTGATTCACACATATTTGTCAGGGCTGAGTGCGTAACTCTGACGAGATATTTGTCTCATAAATTATTCTTATGTCAAATAATTGTTACTAAATTAGGATTCCACCCCTTTACGCCACCAACCCTGATTATGATAATATTTATTGATTACGAAATTAATTTCTACCTTTTTTATTATTATTATCATTCATTTTTTATTACTACAAGACAAAAAACTATTTAATAATTTTTAATAGTTGACGTAAGAAGAATAAATTTGTAAACTTTATTATTATTATTATCATTATCATTATTATCATTATTATTATTATAATTTAAAGCACAGGACTATATAACATTCATCCTCGATAGAAAGAATCTTCTTGATTAAATAATTTGAGAATTTCGCTTGATTAGTCCTAATTTAGTTAATATATTAATTAGTACATGTCACTTAACACGAAATCTCTTTTTTTTAATGTTTCCATTTATTATATAAAAAAGGCATTGTTCATTGTTTTATTATTCTATTGTTATGGTTTTTTTATGAGTGTGAAAGGATAATTTTTGTTGGTGTGCATGTACACATATCCATTTTCATTATACGCAGTATATTATTTATCCTGCTGTTACACGATCCCCATTAATTTCAATCAAAGGAAAAAAAAAGTCTTCTTTCTTACTTATTGCAAGTAACAAAAAATCCATGCTCCTGCTCGGGTTCGAACCGAGGACCTTCTGCGTGTAAAGCAGACGTGATAACCACTACACCACAAGAGCTTTTTTTTATATCGTCTCCTTTTTTCTCATTTAATTTTAATAAAACGATTTTTTAGAACAACTTTTTAAAAAATTATCCATCATTATCACATAAACAAAAAAAAAATTTTTTAATTATCACATTAAATAATATAAATAATCATTTTTGAAAAATTATTAATCTTCAAGAGTTTCTTTTTTTTGTTAGTTCAAAAAAATTTTTCTCCAAGTTCTCTAATTTCATTAGTTAAAAAACCGGTTCGTATTATATTCTGTTCTCTAAGTCACTACGTCCTTCTTGTAGTAGCAGTGGTGGTGGTGGTTATAATAATACTTTTATTATATTTAATGACATCATTTATCAATTTATCGTTCGTCTATCAGAGAAATTTTTTTTAAATTAATGTTCTTGAATATTATTTATGTTCTCCCATAATTATTTATCATTATATAATCAATAGAATAGAATAGATTTATATTTTATATTTTTAGTAGAGAAAAAAATCACATAAATACCAACCTTTTCTCTCTTTCCCTAAAAAGAAAAAAAAAAACCACAACCCTACAACACATGAGATAAAGAAAATACACATATCCTTTTCTGAAACCTATATATACAACACAATACGCTATTTCTTTTTACAATACCCCCGTTTTAAAAAAATAAAGTTTTTTGTTTCATTACGTTTTACATCTTCACGAACAACGCAAATGACCACGCAAACACGAACAAATATTCGTGAAAAATTGGCAGAGTTTGCTGCCAATACCACATATCAATTATGGTGCCTTAAGAAGTCCCCCTCGTCTATGCCACCACTGACAAACGCAAGTCCTCAGTTCATCAGGTTCTGCAAACAAGTAAGTATTAACCAATTTAGAATTTAAAAACGAATAAACGAATAAACGAATAAACGAATTAATACATAAATATATATATACATACATACATATATAAGATGAAGAATAATTACATTTAGCGATAGAATAGTTAAATATAATATTTATTTATTTATAATTAAACTTTAAATCGAACGATGGAGAACACCTACATATAAGATATAGAATCTATACATATATAATATATACATACATACATATACATATATACATATATATACATACACACACAAATAAATGATGTAGCTTTTTTAATTTTATTAATAATCATTTTTATTATTATTATTATTGATCATAGTTAATTTCAGTGACCCAGCTGTCTGAGACAGCTGTCATCTTGGCTCTCAAATATGTCCAAAAGCTAATCATGGGCGAAGGCCCAATTAGTACCGAAGATGGATGGGAATATCGTCTATTTACGGTATCATTAATTTTGGCTAATAAGATCCTGGATGACCACAGCTATACTAACAAAACTTGGTCTCAAGTCACAACGATTCCTTTGTTGGAGTTAAATCAAGCGGAACAAGAGTTCCTAAAAAATTGTGGCTATGAACTTTACGTATCAAATATGGAGTATTTGGATTGGCTCAGAAGCTTGCAAGCTTTTAACCTATTGAATCAAGGACAGAATCAGCAACAACAACAACAACAACAGCAGCAGCAACAACAACAGCAACAACAACAGCAACAGCAACAGCAACAACAACAACAACAGCAACAACAGCAACAACAATCAAATCAACAGCCGCAAAAGGCTCGAGTGCCACCAGGAATGAATCTACCCGGTATTGCATATCTCTTGGAACGTTCACAATCACAAGATCGTAATTATGACTTGTTCGGCAATGATAATCAAACTAGAGTACAACAATCACAAGATCGTAATTATGACTTGTTCGGCAATGATAATCAAACTAAAGTACAACAATCACAAGATCGTAATTATGACTTGTTCGGCAATGATAACCAAACTAGAGTACAAAGGGATCGTTATCGTCCAGGTCCAGGTGTAATTCAACGTCCTGTTAGAGCAATTGCTCAAGATCAATCAACCCATAGAAATGAAGGTTCTTCTGCTCATTCTTCAACTTCTGGGCATAAAGTTGCAGCAATCAGTTTTATCCTCAACAATCAAGATGATGACGGTATTGGCAATATCGATAACAGTACCACACGATATTCTTCTGGTCAAAACTCACAAGATCAATCCATTGGCAGTAGCTATGATCTTTTTGGTAATGGCGATAGATTAATCTCGATCAACAATCTCCTCAACAATCGCACTGATGACAAAATTAGAAACAACAATTATTCCGATCAAAGTTTTGCAGAGCCTGTTTTTCAAGATCAACTTTCCAGTAATAATGGTAGTGGTTATAGTTTAACTTCTATCGACTACATACTCAATGACAGCAGTTCCGTTCAACAACCTGTTTCTCAAGATCAACTTGACAGCAATTATGATCTTTTTGGAAATGGCCATGGATTTTCCTCGATTTACAATCATACCAACAATCAATCTGATGAATATATCGATAACAGTGTCACTCAACATTCTGCTGAATCCAATTCTCAAAATCAATCATTGAGTAGTAGTTATGATTCTTATAGTGATGGCGATAGATTCAAATATAAAAATTATCTTGACAACAATGGTATTCGAAATCTTACTGAATTGGTTTCTCAGGATCAAATTATGAATAGTGACTATGACTCTTGCAGTGGTGGTGATCATAGATTCACTTCAATCAATCACCTTTTCAACAATATAACTGATAAACGACACAGCTTTATTCGACCTCCACCAGGCTTTAGAAATATAGATACTAATACTGTTGCTCAAACAAGCCCTGTTGCTCAAATTCGACCACCACCAGGTTTTGAAAAGATAGATCTTACCACTCTTACTACTCGATCAAATACTGCCTCTCAAGTTCGACCACCACCAGGTTTTGAAAACGTAGATCATACTGCTGTTGATCGATCAAGTACTACTGTTAGTCGATCAAACGTTGCTCGACCAACTGCAGCTGATCAGATCACCGCTACTTTTGGCAGAACTCCAAGAATGATGTACCAACATTTGGTTGCATCTAGAATCAGCAGTAATCCACCAACACCAATTGATGAGCCACGTGGAATCACAAAATACGTGCCTGTAACAATCGCTGGTGCTTTTGCTGCTTTTCGTAATTAAATACTCATTATATCTTATCTTTTCGAAAATGAAAATCATTTTATTTTATGTTTTTTTTTTAATCAAAAGAATCCATTATATTTTATATAACAAATTATTGATTGGAAGAATTAAATTTAGAATGAGGGGATCTTATAAATAACGGGGGGCGTATATATATTTATATTTATATATATATATATATATATATATATACATGCATTATTATTATAGAAATGTGATAGAACGTTTATTTTTTAGATATTATATTAAACAAAAAAAAATTTTTTTATAAAGATGAAGAGATTATATTTAGTATTGTAATAGATGATTATTTCTTTATTATTTTCATATTATTTTTTTTTTTTCATTTTTTTACGACTTCTTAAATGATATCATTAGAATTATGTTGGGTAGTATTTATGAACATGTTGTCATTCATGATGCTCATTCAATAATAATTATAATGACTGATTTGATGACTATTTCACTGAATAGTTTTGGAGATAGTTGATTATATTGTTTAATTGGTTTTTTGAGCTACTCCTATTATTGTTGCCATTATTATTGGATTGATCTTTAATTGTTGGTTCAGAAGAAATTTACGAACGTCGATTTAATTATTGTTGATTGAGGCGAATCTATACAAGAATCATAGTCACTGATATATTAATTTTGTGAAATTTTGTTTTACAGTTTGAGTGACGCCCTCATTAATACAGTCATTAATATAATTATTAAGAAGATAATCACTGTTGATGGATCGGTCATCGGAAGTTGATTCATCCAATCTATTGTCAGTCTTATTATCAGTTTGACGAGTGGTGGATCTATGATTGATTAATCTCTTTATAGCAAACTTTTTCTTTTTTTAATCAATTAGTAAAAAAAAAAAAAAATTCTAAAATTAAAATAAAAAAAAAATTTTTCTCTTTTTCTTCTTTACTTTAGTCCTTTAATAGTTTTTTGCTTTATTATTTTATTAAATGAATAAATCCAAATTTTTTTTTGTTCATCAATAAAAAAGCAAGGAAAAAATGCCTTCAGATGATAATAGTGATGATAATAATAATATATTAATATCATATTATACATTGACAATAACCACGACCGGACCGACCGATGCCTTATTAATTTTTTTTTTTAAAAAAAAATGGCCAAAAGAAAAAAATAGAAACAAAATTCGAGTAAGTGTTATCATAATTATTGTTTAGTTCAAGTTCTAGTTATTATTTGAAAATAAAAAAAATCACTGTTTATAATGAATGATGTTAGAGACCATTTAAATATTTATAAACTTTATTTTTTTATTTACTTAAAGCGGATGATGATTCTAACGAATATAATCGATGTTGCAGGTCCTTCGACCAGTAAAAATATAGATAGATCCTTTTATTGATGATAAGATACTTCAAATAGAGGTGATGATGATATTCTTAGAGTTCCTTTGATCGAGAACAATGAAGAAGACGATGATATTGTTGCAGTTCCTTCGATCAATAACGAGAATAAGGATGATGAGGCTGAAGAGGAAGAAGATGATGGTGATAATGTTACAAGTCCATGCCATATATAATAAATGGACATTTGACCTTCAGAAGTAGTGAGGGGGATTTTTGTCAAAGAAATAGTGTCATATAGAGTATAGACGTTAAATAATTAAAATAAAAAAATTTTTTTGATTACATAAAAATAGCAAAAAATAATTGGTCAATTCATGTATTGCTTCTTCAATATCTCGATAATGCTTCTTTAAAATATTGTGAGGTCGCGTCCGTTATTATATAAACACGTGATTTCAAGGTTTCACTTTAATTCTACATTTCACAATCCATTCCCAAATAACACTGTCACTATCACTATCACTTCATTCCATCATACCAATTCTTCGCTGTATAAAACTATGGCAGTTCGTAAATAATGAATTTCTTTAAGTAATAGTTTTGCTTTGTAGCTTATCAAATAAAGCATCATGATTACAACAAAAGAGACTTCATCATTATCACTGGCAATTTTTCTTGTTTAATTTCTTATATATATCTTGGAGAATATGATTGACAGGACGAATACCACCAACATTAATTGTGCAATTAATTATTCCACAATTTATTTTCTAATTGCTCTAATCATGTTCATGTACTGAGTAGTAAGAATGATATCAAAGAACTCTTTTAATTCGGTTCAAGCATTTTCCTTATTGTTGAAAGAATATTCTCAATAACTTTTAATATAGTCAAACCTCGTTTCAACGAATTAAAATTTTTGATAAAATTTGTATGTATTTGTTAATCAACTCAAAAGAAACACTATTTCAAGTTTCTCCACTGATTTATAGGCAATATATCTATTTTCTTTGCCTAGTATTAAATCCCTCTTTTTTTAAAGGACAATCATTAGCACCCTTTCATAATGTTGGGTAGCGACCTTTTGCAAAAGGTTATTCCACTGTTTGCTCCGCTAGCATCAGAACGAAAATGTTATAGTAGACATTATTGTAATAGATACGAAATAAATCCTTTTTTTCCACTGATATCTAAATCAGCGGTCAATTGGTCTTTAAAAGCACTTTTATCTTTGCTTTGATGGTTGGTAGATTTGCTATATTTATTGGTTGGGGTTTCTTTTGTGTCGTATTTGTTTAATAATTCCTTGATAACATACTTTGAACATTCGATATTAACCGCATTGCCAACTATCATGTCGATCATTCGTTGCTAATATGAAGTTTTCGGGAAATGGTTATAATCTTGTTACTTCGCTACCAAATCAGAAAATATTTGTGATTTTTACAACGAATTCATCAGTAATGGATTCCTTTAAATTTTTTATTATAGGATTCTTTCCCACCAACCTAACAAAATATTTTGAGGACTCCTTTATATGGCATAAATCGCAGAATTTTTATTCTATTGAAATAAACCATATAAAATCAATACAAATTCATATCAATAGTATATAGCAATAAAATTTACTGATCTATTATTTTGATATAAGCAAATAACTGGTCGAAAAAAACCGTTTTCAGTTGTAGTTCAGGTATCTAAACATCGACTGAAAATTACCTGATTATATAAAACCCATTTGGCGCATGCCCGGGTCATGTTCAGTATTCTAACTTCGGACGCGTACAAGATTCAATAATTCAGTAGTAAACCAGGTGATTTTTGGATTATTTTCAGGATTAATAATTCAGTGATAAGCCAGGTAATTTTCAGATTTAATCATTCAGTAATAAACAAAATGGTTTCAGATTATGTTCAGCAATAATAATATACATATATATATATATATATATTTAGCAATTTGATGTCATCAATTAAATTAGACTGTCGTCTTCATTAAAACCACCATGTTGCTTTTGAATTAAACAACTATGTATAAATCTAGTATATATTATAGATGTCAAAAAGTACGCCATACATGCCTATAAGTTACATAATACTTGAAATAAATAAAAATAACTCGTGTCTCAGTTTTTACAATACAAATATACAATAGAAATTATTAACAATTGTTACTTATTACCATTTTATTAAGTAATTTTGATATTGTTTTTTATGATTAACAAAAAAATTTTTGTTGATTATTTCTTTTTTAAAAAGTCCCACTTTTGCCGAATATCAGTCAATCCATCGATATGATCGATATTATAATTACCGGTGCTGTGTAATGTCTCTAAAAACGACTTGATTTTGTGTAGTAACTCAGGCATAGGATGGTGTGAGTGTGTAGACATTAACCGGTTAAAAAAATTAACAGTTTAATGGTTAATTTAACCGGTTAAAATTAATGGTTAACCGGTTAACCGAAGGCTTTAACGGTTAGCTGACCGATTAAAGAATTTTTAAACGGTGCCAATCTCTAAATAAAATTTAGCAAATATGCAAAGTGAAGTGCTAGCAGGTGGTCATCTTGGTATTTCATCCACTGACAGAAAAAAAAATAGAGATCCTGATGCATAAAATTCCTTAATTTTTTAGTAAAAACGTAATTTGAACAGATTAACAGATTAACAGATTATGAAAGAGCAAACGAATAGTATCATTTCGATTATAATTGGAGGTTTTTTAAAAGAATTTTTTTTCATCAATATATAGTAATAATAATAGAAATATCTCGATGCAACATAAATTTGGTTCGAAAACCGGATTATTAAAAAACTTTACCCAATTTTTTACCATTTTAGCATATAACTATAGTTGTTCCCAAAAATACAAATGGGAAAACTATACTTGTGGACGAAATTTTCAAAAGTATTTTCAACAAACGATACAAAATACCAAAAATCACATGATGTTTCTAAGTGCTGGATATTCTAGAACTTGTGCTTTACTTAAAGGGGAATGAAACATGGTCTTATGCTGATTTTTGAACTTCCACCGTGGTATAATTCTCATATAAGTATGCTTTTCAGACGAATGGATTGCTCTTAACAGCACCTGGATCTGTAGATTTTTATTCAAAGCAAAAGAGATTAATCCAACAAATTTGCGAGTAATGTATCTTTATATTTTGTTTAAGAGAGCTCTTACGTGCTTTTATCCAGATTAAGATTGTTGGTTTTCGTATCAACTCAAGCAATGGATTGGTGAAGTTCCATCTGCTGTATCTGCATTTAATATAGTAATAGTATGATTTTTTTAGTTGGAAACATCTCAGACAAAAATTTCAAATATTTAGTGATTTCATCTATTTTAAAGAAATTAATTGGCTATTAATAAATGATCAAACTAGGGGGTTTTTTTTTTAAAAAAAAAAATTTATAAAATAATACAAACCTCCAGTCATTATATTATCAGGGATTGTCTCTTCCCAACTTAAATATTTACCACCAGAATTAATGACTGGGGATATATTCTTGATTAAGGTTTCTGGCCCAAACTGTTTTCTCAAAGCCCAAACTAGTTTGGGCAATTTGGGTTCCTCAACATTGTCTATAAGCATGAACATTAAAAAACTATATGAATCAACTTGTTTTAACTTAAACAACTTTAAAATAATTTCACCCAATTTCGGCTAATAACAAAAAGTAGTTTGGGCTTATAAAAAAATAAATTTTGCCTAAAGTATTTGGGCAATTTTGGCTACTAATAGAAGCAGTTTCGACCAGAAACCTTATTCTTGATTGATCTACCAGAATTACTATTCAAGGTGTAGGATATATCAACCATATTCTAGATAGAATCAAGAAACAATGTTAAGTGTCAAATCATTTGAAGAACAACAAATGAGAAAAAACTTACAAGTCCATTAATATCTTCTCACAATAAAGACGAAACATGTTGTTTTCATCACCATCAATTTTTTGCATTATTTCCAACTTAAAATTATTTCCCAATTTCTATAATATGGTAGTGTGAGATAGTAAAATGAGGACCGATAGAGAGGTCCCGCGTTGCCGATCCAACCAAACCAAATTACTGCGGAAGTCA